TACTACTACTACTACTACTACTACTACTACTACTACTACTACTACTACTACTACTACTACTAGCTATTAGGCAGCAGTAGTATTATGTCACAGTACCACCACTACTACTAGTACTACTAGTACTAGTAGTATGATACTAGTAGCTACTAGTAGTAGTAGTACTACTACTACTAAAGAAGATGAAGAGCATGTTGGGAATGGTGAGATGCCAGCTTAAATGCTGGTGGGGGTATGCAACTAAATTGAAAATACAGTGCCGACACCTTTGGCTTCCACTGCCACCAAAGCAGTCCAATTCTGGTAGGAGGAGGTATACCTTAACCCTAGTACTACTACTAAGTTTCATCGTTTCACCATACCATGCCTCCGTACATCCTCAATACTATTTGTGACAGCACCACATCAGGTACGAGGTTGGAACGCAAATGTGTGGACAAAATCCGTAATAGGTTATGAGTACAATAAACGCGCCAGTTTTTAGCTCTGAGCCCCCTGTCTTTGCTTGCTTGTTATTGCTAGCAAAGGCCCAATCAGAGATCGAGAATCCATTAGTCGGAAAGAGTTTTCCTTTCTCTTTACTTTGATGTGCACATTGCTATGTGAATTTTGTAGAGAACGTTATCGGGCTTGTTGATTTCTCTGCGCACCGAAATTTCCGAAAAACTCATTAAATCAACCTCATCATAGGGACCTGTCACCCCCATTAGACTGAGCACTAAACAACACTCTCCTGTCCACACACCCACCGGAATAACTTCATTATAACAAGGGGAAGGGGATCCGTAAGTAGCGGATCGATCGACCGAGTGCTTCAGGAGCAACAGTACATCCAAGTTACAGCTAAAATATCGACAAAAAATACGAAAAATCGCATCGACGAACTCCCCAGTGTAACTAAAAAGAAACCATCTTCCCATCRATAAAACACACAACCAGTGTCCGTAACMTHCTTAATACATCAAAGGAGACTTGATCMCGAAGTATCGTTGCAATCGACCGAGTATTTTGAAAGAAAAAGCAGTTTTTGCTGTATTTTGAGTGTTTT